GTGTGTGTGTGTGTGTGTGTGTGTGTGTGTGTGTGTGTGTGTGTGTGTGTGTGTGTGTGTGTGTGTGTGTGTGTTAAGAAAAGGGGGAAGATCACTTTAATATTCCTTTAAAAAACTCTTAAGTTGTATTTTTGGCACATGAAGGTCAGTGCTTGCAAGAGCTTGAGTAGGCTCTGAGGTTTTTTTAATTATGGTGATATTTTTGCTTCAGAGGTATTGTACACGTGTGGATGAAATTCAGTCCCATCTGCCTCCATACATCTTGAATAAATGGGTACGAATAGAGAATAATGGAGGGGTTACGAGGGTCAGAATCAACAACTTGCAGCAAGATAGTTCTGTGTCTGTTGCAGCCCTGATTTGCTATGCAAGTCCCTGAACAAATGTGTGCTCTACATGTGGAGGTGGGGGCCCCCACCTCTCGTGCTCCCCTCTGTGGTGTCATGTACAGGACCGATATGGGACTCAACACATACAGGAGGTATAGAATGTCACTGAGCCTATACTTCACAGCTCCGCAGCCAATCGTGCAGCAGAATGGTTAGGGTTACCCTGTATTCTAAGCTTTTTCACATTTCCTGCTTTTGGGCAAGGGGGGAGGCATATTTTTTTAAAGTTTCTCATCTCTCTGATATCTAAATACTAGGGCTGGGCAAAGCTTCGGTTGCTGATTCGATTTGGTGGAGATTCAGCTTGATTCAGTGGCCGAATCTCTGAATCTGAATCAAATCAGGAGACCCTTTAATCTCTCCAAATTGAATCAGAATGCTCTGAATTGATTCAGAGAGATTCAATGATTCTGCTGTAGACACAGCTTTAGATGTTTTTTCTACACACTTTAAGGTACCAGGCGGATCATGAACGCTGAGATGGTAGGGCAGATGGAGCATCCCACGGGAGCACTTCCAGTCCATTTCTGGGTCCACTATGGAGTGTGCAGGGGATGCTGCCCCCTGGCTCGGCAATTGGTGCCTCCTGAGTCTGGGGGAGCAGCCAGGGTCCCCCCACGGCCAATGACAGAGCCGGGGGGATGCAGCAGGGATCTCCCACGCTCTTGTGTAACACTCCATCTGCCTCAGCATTACAGTGTTCATGAGCCATGCCTGGTACCTTGATGTGATGACTTTAGTGGGTGTGGCGACTACCATACCGTCTTCTTGTACCGGGGCACCCCCCCCTCAAATCTCCTGCCACAACTTGATGTTACTGGGAAAAAGAAGGGGTTCAGTAGTGTTCCTCTTCTTGGGGGACCCGGTGACGGAGGTACTTGCATTCATGCCGCGATGTTCCGTGGGGCCCCGCCTCCTCTACACCCCGTCTACTCGCTAACTGCTTGGGTGTTGCTTGTGTAGTTCCGCCGCCCTGTGAGCCCCTCTGCTAAAGGGTCAGGCATTGACTTTGGCTCCTGTAGGTTTGCCTGGATGTTACAACAGCTGAAGCCCCAGACCCTGGTGCCAGAGGGCTGGACTCTCATTGTCTGGCTTCCCTCTTTTTTCCCAGAGAGAGACGCTGTTTATCAACTGCAAAATGTAGGTCACTGCGGGGGCGGGGTATGGATCCTCCCCAGCCTAATGCAGGGACACTGTTCTCCCTACCCCTGATGCAGGCTCCGCGCCTGCATCAATGCTCCTGCCAGCTGCAGGAGTCACACCATGCCTGGCGTGCTCCGCACTGGCTCTCTCTTCCTCCTCTCCCCCTGCTGGCTTCTGGCAGGGTTTTTAAATTTTCCCACAGCGGCGTCTCCCACCTCTGCCATTGGCCCAGTGCTCCCCTGCCCCAGGAGCAGCTGTTTGAAGAGCCGGCATAATGCTGGCTCGTGTGGCTGCAGCTCTGGTTCCGGCTGCGCTCCCAAAGGTAAGTTTTCCAGGGTGAGGGGGGCCTGTTTGTCCCACACAATTGGCTCTTGGGGTCTTCCCCAGCCCCGTTGGAGACTGTGGGGGCTGCTCACTGCCACAGACCTCCCCACTTAAGCTGCCTTGTGGTGTCTGGACCTCTTGTATGGCCTCCCGAATAGCCTGATGTTCTTTTTCATGTGCTTGACATGCCTCCTCGGCTGGCTGCTCCAAGCTGAAACATCTAGAGAGAAAATCCACCACTAGATTATCCTTGCCGGGGTGGTGCATTACCATGAACTTGAAAGGTTGAAGAGCCAGTGCCCAGCGGGTAATGCGAGTATTTTCACTTTTTGTTTTGGTTAACCACTGCAGTGGGGTGTGGTCCATCACCACCAGGAACTCCTGGCCCATCAAATAATATTTAAAATATTCTATCGCCCAACGTATTGCTAGGCACCCTCTCTCTTCTTGTGGCGTACCTGGTTCTGGCTTGGCTGAGTTTGCAGCTTGCGAAGACGATCCTCATCTTTGCAGTAGCACAGCCCCTAGGGCACTGTCAGATGCATCCGCCTGTAAAATAAAAGGGGCAGAGAAGTCAGGAGTATGTATCACCACATTGCAGCACATAGTCTCCTTCAGATCCTTGAAGCTTCTTTTCATCTCAGACATCCACTTTAGCATCCACTCCCTTTAAGGGCATGTGTGAGGGGTGCAGTGAGTTCCTCAAAGTGCGGTACAAGTCTCTGATAATAGTTGATGAGCCCCAAGAAGGAATGGAGTTGCCAACGGTTGCATGGTTCTTGAAATCATCGTATTGCCTCCACCTTGTCCCCCAGGGGTCGGATGGTTCCGTGTCCTACACAAAACCCCAAATACTTAGTTTCTGTACTACCAGTTTACATTTTTTTGGATTGGAGATCAACCCAGCTGTTTGAAGCTCTCCCAAAACTGCTCTCAGGGCCTTGAGATGCTGGGGCCATTCTGAGGTGAAGATGATGATGTCATTGATATAAGCTCTGCATGTGTCACATGTGGTGCCAACAGGGTGTCCATAAGCCTCTGAAAGGTGGCTGCCGCTCCATTCAGCCCAAAGGGCATCCGTACGATTTCAAACAGGCCCCAACGGGTTCCAGAAGTGGTTTTGGCACAGTCTGCGGCTCGCATCGGGATTTGCCAGTAGCCTTTGGCTAGGGTGATGGTGGATATGTATCTGGCTTCCCCAATTCTCTCAACGAGGTAGGCAATATGAGGCATGGGGAATGTGACGAAGGTCACTAATGCATTTAACTTTTGAAAGTCAATGCACAAGTGGAGTGATTCATCAGGTTTAGCCACTGGTATGACTGGACTGCTCCATGGGCTTCAGGACGGCTGGATAATTCCCTACTTCCTCATCTCTTCAATCCCTTGTAGTACTTCCCGTTGCCATCATTGGGGTATAGGCCTCCATCTCTCCCTGACTAGTGCGCCGGGCGGTGTCCTGGTCTCGTGCTCGATTCTCTGTGCTCACCCTGGGGTTTTTTGGAACATGTTCCGGAAAGCTTCTATCACCTCCTCCAGTTCCCATCATTGATTGGTATCCAAATCTTTCCCTAGTTGCACTTGCCCCTTCAGTTGGATCTCCCTAACTCTAGGCAGGGGGTCCCAGCTCCTCTACTGTCTCCTCTTCTTGTGCCAGCCAGCCTTGAGGAGGTTTACATGGTAAATTTGATACTCGCGATGGTGTCCGGTCTTGAGCACTTCATAATCTACTGGGCCTACCTGGCGGATCACCTTAAATGGTCCTTGCCATATTGCAAGGTGTTTACTTGTTGACACTGGAAGCAAGACTGTTCTGGGTTTCATTCTTGTATTATACTGGGTGTCCTGTTGTTCTTGCATGACTCGCATATTCTGGCACGCAATCTGGTGGGCCTTGTTGATCTGGTCTTGTAGCTCCTGTCTGTACCTTTCAGCTACTATTCCGGGTCCCACCGGCCTCTCCCATTCCTTCTGGACAATCTGTAACAGACTCCTGGGACTGTGCCCATATACTAACTGGAAAGGTGAGAACTGCATTGACTCTTGGGGTACATCTCTATGGGCAAACAGTAGCAGGGTCAATATGGTATCCCATCTATGGGGGTCCTCCTGTGTGCACTGCCTGAGCATCCTTTTGATGGTCCTTTTTAGCTTTTTGACTAAGTCATTTGTCTGGGGGTGATAAACTGATGTTCTCAGGTGGGTGATGCTGGGGGTGCTACAGAGAACCTTCATCACCCCCGACATAAAATTTGTCCCCTGGTCAGTGAGTGTTTCGCGTGGGATTCCTGCCCTAGCGATCCATTTTAGGAGCTCTTCCGCCATGCGAGTAGCCGTAATAGACCTAAGTGGAACTGCCTCCAGGAACCTTGTGGCATGATCCACTAGGACTAACACATATTGGTATCTTCTGTGAGACTTTGGTAGGGGCCCCACAATGTTGAGCGCTACGCGGGAGAATGGTGTCTCAATTATGGACAAGGGTTGCAAGGGTGCCCTCTATGGTCTCCATTCCTGGGCTGTCTGGCACTCTGGGCAGGCCGCTGCCCATCTCTCTATGTCTTCTTGTAGACGTGACCAA